AGCAGAGACGTCAATTCTCTATCTAATTGTGTCTATAAAATAAAATGCTCGGAATGGGATGCGATCTATATTGGAAAAACATCTCGAGAAATCAAAATCAGAAGAAATGAACACCGTAGAGCATCTCTTCGACCACCAAGAAATCCAATTGAACTAGAAAAACTTCAAAAATCATCAGCCATAGGTCTACATGCTATAGAATCATGCCACAAAATTGATTTTGACAATATCGAAATAATCCAGAAAAACTTCAGAAACCACAAAGAACGTCTAATATCAGAAGCACTTCATATCAAGTGGAATCCAAATTGCCTGAATAGGAATGATGAACTAAAACAGAATCTGACCTGGCTACAACACCCTCCCCCATGAAGTAGCAAAACGCAAATGTGATGAGCAAATTCACTATGTAAAACACACTACTTTCATAATTCTACACACTGATAAAATCCAACAATCTACACTTGATTTTGTTATCTTTACCTATTCTCCAACTTGACAACCTAAATGATCCTAGACTGACGAACGATGATCAAGTTAGTAAACTTTATTTTGATATAATAACAGATATACTATTACCTTTGATATTTGGTTTGAACGATCTTCATTGTTATTTTGACTTTCAATATGTCCTTTTAAGTTGAACTAAGTCTATATTTTCTCACCCCCTAATTCTTTGTTATATATATGCTGAGATTTTGTAAATTCCGGTTTAATAATACTTTGAGAAAGCTACTAGCATTAAATAGCGAAACGTCAGTAAAAAGAATCTCGTTTTGTTTTTCATTGATTGGGAAATACAAAAACATCGGTTTGAGGATCGTTAGATCAGATCCCAGTAGTGGCTTTAATCGTCTACGAGCTCTCTGGCCTTGTAACTAGAAAGCCCTGAGTTCGAACCTCAGTGGGTGCGTATTGTTGAAAAGTCCCAAACTAGGACGAAACAGCTGTCTAGGACTCCCTTTACTTCTTGCAATGGTTCTCTATCCTATGTCAGTTCATGATGAAATTCTTAAAAAAATAAGTCTTTAGTGGTTGATCTTTGCTATGTAGGAAAGTGTATATTGACTCTCTGAATTCTTATGGCTGAAGAAGTGTAGTGTTATTGCCCAGTATAACTCAAAAAAGTGTCTCTGACATTCTGAATTTTTCCAGTTATCTTCATTTAACGATTCTGTCACCTATCGTATTCAATTTTGGCCTATTGTTGTAGTCCAATTCTAATTTTTCTTATGTGTTACATTCCAAAGAGTAGAAATTTTAAGTCATTTCCATATTGCGGATCTAATGTTGATTTGTCTGTCTTCATTATTGCGATAGTTTATACAGAAATAAGCACTAGAGTATTTTAAACTCAAATTTTGAAACAGATCAAGGAATGAGGCTTGACCACTTATCATGACCACTTAACGCCAGCTAGCCAACTGATAAGATGATTCTGTTGGACCTTCGTCACTTTGTGTGTGTGTGTACGTATGTGTGCAGAACCACTTAAGGCCTTTTTTTCTGTTAAACTTAATCAAAAGGTGTACGCTATAAGCGTACAGTGACGGGAGGGGTTCACTTTTTCATGATCTGATATCTAATATGTCAAATCCAATAATTCATCACCATGGTTATTGTGATGACACGTGTGTATACTGATAATGCATTAGTAAAGTACATAGTTCCACATTAGTTTGTTTATTAGATATATCACACAACAAAACAGTATTATTTACTGGAAAGCGAAGTTTCGAACACCAATTTATTGTTCATAATCATATCAGCCATAATCACACGACTTTGAAACTTGAGTTTTATAGTTTTCCCTATCCTTTCCTATTTGTAGTAGGTGTAGTAGAATTATCCTGATGTCTGGGTGGACAGGTGTTGAATCATTCCTATTGCGCATATTTGCAGCTGATTCGATAAACAAAGCTTCCGTTATCAATCTCTCATTCTACCCTGCCATATTAGACCTTAGAACTGTCCTCTTATCCCATCCCATTGCATGTCTGTGTGCAATTCAATGTGGTGTTGTGGCCCAGCTATTCTCCAGATTTCTTATCTCAATGTCGGTTCAACCAATCTAGATTTTGCTAGGTTTTTATGCTCCATCAGTCTGACTGACCCTGTTCTACCACTCTGACATATGTATTTGACTTGAAAGTCATTGCAGGGCACTAGGTAAATCAGATCGTTTTGTTTAGTGGGCTGCACAGGATCCTTTAACAGATAACGCTTGTTTCTAGATGAGTTTGTGGGTTTGAATGCCAATTTCATTTCGGACTGTACTGCTAAAAATTCTCCTTAAGATTTCCGAGGTTCCTTCTTTGTATGAAAGTACTACTGGTGATTTAAATTCCTTATTGCTGGTGTTGTCATTATCCTCTGCATGTTTGACATGCATGTCGTCATTGTTACTATCAGTATTCTTGCCATTGTTATTATTAATTTTATTTTTACACTTTCTTACATACTTCCTGATTCATTTATCAGGGTAATTACTTAGTTTTAAAGTATATCTTATACGCCTCACTCCCTCTCTTAGATTTTCCTTGGTACTACTCAGTTTTTATGCCCTGTTACTTAAACATTTCACCAATTCTACCTCCAAGACAAAAAGGAGAGAATAAAGAAAACTATAAAACTCAAGTTTCAAAGTTGTATGATTATAATTGATTTGATTATGAACAATAAATTGTGTTCGAAACGTCATTTATTAAGGAAAACTGTTTCACTGTGTTGATATATCTAATAAACAAACTAATATGAAAGTATATACTACCACAGTGCCCATGTTTTTAAGCATATATCAGTAAAGTATACAATTTTAAATTAAAAGACTATAAAGGTTGCATGAAAACCCCGCATATTCTTCATTCGAGGTAAACAATTAACCCACAGTTTCAGATAAGGGTCATATAAGTTCATCACTGATTATTCAAATTATTCTTTAGATTGAATAGGATGAATTTATTTCCAACCTCGTTAACATATTTTCGATAAAATTTATCAACGCAAGCTAATATAATTGGTTTTAGAATGGATGTATGCGCTTGGTACCAGTGTCAAAACGATAGGGAGTATAAGTGTATTAAGCACTGTTCTTTCTTACAAATACACATTTTGTAATCAGGCTCTCTAGATAACGGCGACTGTAAGCTTTTAAACTATACCTTGTAAAAAATATGGAGACTGTTTCTAACTTAGGGGCGTTTATGCTCGAATCAGTTGTTGTCTAAGCTGAAGTTTCTGTTGGTAAATATTTCACTGTCATGCCAGAAATTGTAACTTGACATATTACCTAATGTTGTTTTCCTTCACGTTCCCAGTGGAATATAGGGCTTCAAGCTAGTGGCTTGAAGTTTCTGTAGCAGTGTTTAATTTTTACAGGACGGGGTTGCTAGCCAGTCTCATGCCCAACCTTTCCTCTTTATAAGCATTATTTCTGGTGTAGCGAGGTGAAGGAGTGCGTCTGTGGCCGGGGATCGAACCCCGGACCATGTGCATGGTCAGCGAGTGTCCTAACCGCTGTGCCACTAACGCACATTACCTAATTTTACATTGGTATAATCACTGAGCATCAGCATCTACTCCACACTACTAAAATATTCAGTGCATTTGTCTTTGCATTTATACTGATATTTTTAAGTAATGGCGTGCAGGAAAGTGTGAAATTATCACAACTGACTTGTTGGCGTCTGGACTCAGGGAACCGATCTTTGCGTTCTACTGTATAACTAGCCGAAACTTCCTTGAGATATCCACAGTCACAGAACGCTCCAAAGACATCGAAAGAACTTTTATTCGTCGATAGATCTTTGGTTCTATTGAACAATAGTGACATCAAAAACTCAGAATTACCTCAATAGTGCTGTCAGGCAGCTAAAGAGACGGGGTAACTTTCTAAGTCCAAATCTAAGTAGTACCTTGGAACCAAGTTGAACGTTCCCAACAATGTGGGATCAAAAACTCTATCTACATGAATCACACACCAACAATCCCCTCAGACAATCCACTGTCAGAATGTGGCCTTACCTCACTCAAACATAATCACAGCGTAAAACAGCACATTATCAGTGTATCGCGTATCCCAAAAGAGAAATATAAAAATTAGAGATTTACCAAATAATAAGGATTAGGTCAACAGATGATATGCAAATGTCGGGAGAATGATGTGCAGTCTAGGAGAAGAACGGATAATAATTACAGATAGGTAGTTGAAACATCCAAATAAGTATAAATATTTTGACTAGGTCATTCAGGAAGGATTTTTCAAACTGTTATTCCACTATTATTTTTGTTCCCTTGGGTTCCTAGTGGAACATAGGGCTTCAACTGCACGTCTCCACTTGCCACTTCTGTCCTCCTTCTGCTGTACTTTTCACCTCCATTCATGTTAGTCCATACTGTTTCAACTCCTCCTCTTCACACAATCTCCTCCATGTCACCCTTGCACTGACGTCCCACTCGCCGCTTCCCTTTCGGCCTGGTTCCACTCGAAAAATGGCGCGACGCGCACGCGCTGTCACCCAGTGGCCTCCTCAGCGAGCGAGTGTCCAATCCGTCTCAACTGTCTCCTGCATATTTGTTGGTTGGCGATTGGTTCTTGTTTTGTTTGTTCCTTCCCATAGTTTCTTGTTGCTGATTCTTTCTAGCCCGGCCATCTGATCTTCAGTATAGAGCGAAGACAGTTGTTGATAAAGGTCTGCAACAGGCTGTTGGAAATATTCTTTGTGACCCGCCAAGTTATTCCATTACTAAGTGTATATTTATTGGATGGACTCTAGTGGTTGAATGAAAATGTGTTGTGGTGTTGTAACTCAGAATAGTTTATCGCTTCAAAAATCTACTAGTAATTGGCTTACGAAGTCAACAATTTCACTGTTTATATTAAATGTGTTAAGTTATTGTCAATGTTTTTAAAAAAAAGTTTTAATTTGAAGTTTCTTTTCTGTTTTTCTTTAAATTGTTTTTTTTAAACCTTTAATTTCAACCATATTTGATTATTTCAGGAGTTCCTAAACGCAGAGATGGGTCTTAATCTACGCGTAATGGATAGTGTTCGTATGAAGTTGACTATTAGTGAGATTGATGATTTACTGCACAGTTTTCGTAAACTTGATCATGATACTAAAGGTTATATTTCATTGAATGATTTACGCAAATTTTGTACTGTAAGTACATTGTCCTCATTATATTTTGATATTCTATGTTGCTTTTTTCTTCTTAAAAATAGTTTTTTCTTTTTAAATTTTGTTCAAATTAACAACTGACATTCATCTTTATCACAAGTAGGTATCATTTTAGAGGAGGAGGAAGAGGCGCTGAAAATAATAGTTGAAATAAGCGATTACTTCACATACATACGAAAGAACAAGAAAGAAACTGACTGTTTAAATAAGATTCAATGGCCTTTTAGGTCATACTGTCAAGTTTCTGTAGATTCAAACGACACCTATTTTCTACCTAAATGTAATTACAGCATAGTGATATTATATATATATATATATATATATAGTTAGAAAGTAGGTCAAAAATATGCTTCATGTAATCCGGCATATATTGAATGTAGTGAGTCTGTCTAAGGTGGTTTGATAGATTGTTATTGATATGATTGGCGATGACCACGTAGATGGTTCTGGCTCGATTCCCAGCCAACGCACTCCTAAACCTCACCTGCTTTACTAGCCGGTCGTAAGTCTATAAAACAGAGGGAAGTCTGGACGTGAGGCTTTCAATCTAGCCCCTTAAAAAAAACTATCATGATGAGTGGAACTTCAGGGCCTGGAGCCATAAGTTCCACTCAGAAAGAATGGGAAGAAACGAAACAAAAACGTAAACGAAATAAAAATATGGGTCATAGCAGAATGCGAAGCACGGACCTCAGAACTACTAGTCTGTCAATCTACCGGTTGACAGTTGTATTAGGCGATTCAACTATCTAACCAAGTCATCATAGCACTGTAATCTAAACGAGTCATATAAACGAATCATATGTTACTACCTATTTATTACCCTACTAGCTGCTAAGCGAAGTATTCTCCTGTCAATTTTAATCATACTGTTTCAGTTATTCTCATCACCTCTTCTTCATCTGCTTGCCTAGTTTACTAGCTGATCCTAAGCCCAGGCAAAAGAGGGAAGGTTTGATGTGGTGCTAGCCATCTTACCCTGAAAAATCAACCCAGTCGATGCAGAAACATCAATACACAGAGAAAAAAATGACCATATCCTCCACTGGAATCGGAAAGATAAAATGATGTGGATTGGTGAAAGCTTTTGGGAAGCCACTGAGCCTATGTGTCTTCTTTCCATGAAAGCAAAAATACGCATGGGGACGTTGAATGTCCGTGTACAATTTCCGAAGGTGGGAAGGCTGCTCAGATTGCCAGACAGATAGGCTGCGCTACAGAAGTGATAGGAGTGTGTGAGAGTAGTTGAAGTGGAAGTGAACTCTGCAAGTTGTTGACTGGAAAGTCAGTAGTTCACTCTGGTCACCCAGACAACAACCACTAGCAGACTGAGTGAGTAGCTATCATGACGTCACCAACAGCTCTTACACAGTGAAAAAAATATTCAGTAGTTAAACCATAATACTTTAAGAAATCAGATTGAAAAAATAGCTAAAATACTAGACTCCTCTTATGTTATCCGTTCAGAGCTTTCGTGCATAGCATGACTGGGTAGATATCATATTTCCTGCCTTGTCAGTTGTACACTCCCTTGCAAAAATCAAAGGCATGTAGGTGGTAATTAATTTTGATTTGTGAATGAGACAGACATTCACCTTGTGTTCATCTATGGTTCCATTCATTTACTGGTTGACATTGGGTTTATTAAAATTGTTATATCGGACCGTTGTACTTTTATTAAGCTTCATTCAAAATGAGTAGAATCAAGCATTACGACATTAAGAATGTGTAATTATTAAATCTTAACTTTTTTTCTCAGTTCTTTGAGCTACCTTTCATCTTCCTCTGTTGGAAGGTGATGGACTCTAGTTTTTGAGTTCAGATATTGATAGCAAAATTCGAAGATTGTTGACTTGTTGAAGTGTAAGAAATCTAACTGGTAAGATTCTCGAAATGAATGTCTGAAGTCTGTTGTAATTTACACACAACTTCTATCACAAATGCTTCTAGTTGTAATGTCGACAAATTGACCGGGTAGTGATTGATAACAAATCTGTTTGGATCACTGGGAGGCTTTCTATGGACTCTGATGGGTTTAAGGTTTTTGTTCATGTTTGAATGAACATTCTTAGGTCGTCTGTCCTGCCCCAATAGCAAAGTATTTATTAAACAATTGTCTTTCACTTGGTGGTAATTATCATAGAACAGAAGACTTTTGTGATATGTTTCGCCTCAGCTCGAATATTGAGGTGTGACGTTGAAGAGTTTTTGAATGGGGATATATATATATATATAATGCCTCTTAATGCTTTCCCAAACCACTTTGGATATTCATGATTTATAATGCAGTCTTCCAAGAAGTTAGCTTCTTGATTCTGTTTAGCAAATTTGATAGAATAATACAGGACACCCATTGAGTTCCTTCACTGTTGAAGGGTCTTCGAGCTTTTACAAATCGTAGAAAGTCACCATCAGAATATTAGAGGGGAAAGAATAAGATGCTCAGCTGGGATTCGTCGTACTTTGGACTCGTCATTCGGGTGTACCTGCATTCTCCAGTGAATGGTAGTGTTTCCACCGAGGCTTGAATCCAGTGGCCATAGTTTCAAAACGCCAAAGCGTTATCCACTAGATCACTTGGGCTACAAGAGCGACTTCGTTTGCATTTTTAGATTTTCCTGTCGATTGATTGAACCCGAAGTGCTCGGTGTCATGTTTGAATTACATATACTAAACTTTGTTTATTTTCTCACATTTTCAAACAACAATCATTTTACTTTTTATATATTATAGGAATCTGGTGAGCAAATCAGTGAAGAGATACTGCAGTCCACTCTGAATACAATGGATCTCAACAAAAATGGACAAGTTGATATGGCAGAATTTTTACATGTATGTTCCATTTTTATTTATTTTTTTGGTTTTGATGATATATTTATGGATTATTAAAATGTCAGTGTGTGTGTGTGTGTGCCAATCCTTACCTTGCTATTCAAGTATAGAAATCAACAGAAATGTATTTTATTGTCAGCTTCATAAAGTCAATATGGAATAGATTTCTTCTTTTACATCAAAGGATATATTAGGATCTAGTAAAAAGTCACGCAGTTTAAGCGATGTGTAAACCTATTTGGACTGCTTTTTGACAAGTTTCACTTCCTATTATTGTAAGATAGAATTTAAGAAAGTGTTGGTCACTTCCAAGAGATGTCTAATCATTACCCCGCTCTCACCCAGTAGTCTGACTGACTGCCTGACTGACTAGTTTCAACGTAGAACTCTGCACCGATGTGCAGCAGTTCGAGTTGCCACACTTCACTTGGCACACAAAGCGAGAGAAGAAGGTAAAAAGAGATTCTAAACAGCGATGATAAACAGAGATATGAGACAAAAAATAGTAATAAGGAAGAACAATATAGTTTTATTGGATATTATAAGTCACAAGGAGTGGAGGCATCTGTATCATTGAGAACGATTTTGACTGATATCACCAATTGTCTCCAGCCATTGGTGTTTACCGGCCCGAGAACCTCAACCAGGATGTCTACACCTTCCTACGTGGCTTATCCAGTCGGATGAATTCATCATTTTGTTTTCCCTACTGTGAAAATCACCCTAGAGACAGTATTTTTGAATATAATCAGCATTCTGCAATCGATGATATGGCAATAATAAAGTCGTTTACTAATCCTTCATCTTATCGTTCTCTCCTCTCTCTCCCTCTTCCATTCATATTTTCTCTTTGTAGTATAACTGTTTCCGTATTCTTATTTTGTATACTTCTCCCAATGTGTGAAAATCTGAAGTGGTACACTTCTGTGCAGATTTTTACACATCAGTATCGTGGTTATCGATTGCGCTATAATATCATAAAGGGAAACTTAAGAAATGACAAACTGTCAGTTAGAGCTCTTAAATGAGGCAGAAAACAACCTGATGAATTCCTTATTCAATCCTTTCTCTTTGTATTTCACTAATCCACTTCTGAAAAATATCGTGATAAACCTATGGAATAAGTATACTAAGTATTATTATGATTCTAGAAGGTGAAGAATGTAAGTGAATGACCTCCAACTCCCAATGCCCAAAGACCAAAGAACTATTCGTTTACCAAATTAAATCGGCAAATCGATCGTCCAAAGTACGAAATATATTTTAGGCCTAGAAGTGTAGAGCAGTGATGTTTGATTAGCTCAACCCAGCTGGAGTATGGGTGCGAACAACCAGATTTAATGTTGCAAAACTACATAACAAATTGGCGTGAATTCCTCGCCCAACTTCAGTTTAATCAGTCGATTTAGACAGTGAAGATCAACACGTATTTTAGGAGGATTATTTACCCTTATATTATACTCTATAGGGACTCATTTAATCAGTTTTAGATGGTATGAAAATGGTAGTAATTTTGCTACTCTTCACAGCATTTTGGTAGTGAACTTGATGCTTAGAATGGCTAACACAATGCATAAGTAAAACATTCAGAGTTTTTGATGTAGTTGTGTTTTCTGTCCTGTATGATTGACTTGCAAAGCTTTCATTGCCCCACTAGACAACATTCTCAGCGTTATATTTCAGTGTGAAGTGAGCTTTAAAATTCTGCACGAGTTTCTCGGCCATCTGTCCTGGTTACTTTGAACGTGATTGATTCCACTTGTCTGTCTTCCCACACTAGTCTCTTTGTATCGGTACTGCTTGTCTCCATGATTCGGAATCAATACCAATACAAATAGGCGAGGGTGGGTGAGCTCACTTCAAACCGAAGTATGGGCTAAAGATATTGCCTAGTGGGGCAATAAATGCTTCGCAAGTCAATCATCCAGCTCAGAGAACTCAACTACGTCAAAATCATCCACCTGATCTACAAATCTTCTCAATTATATCTAAACATTCTCAGCAAACAGTACTAGTGTTGAATAGACTGAAGATGTTTGAAACTTAACATATTTCTAAATTATTATAACCCCGTTTAGACATATTTTATTCCTTTTCACGATTATTCCTACTTCTGCATTAGGATATTCATCACTTTCAAAGGACACCTATGATGACAATTTAGATTTGCAATTACTCCCCTCTTATTGCCTAATTTCTATTTCACACATAGATTATGCATTGTAGAATAAGTATAAATTTGATCATAAGAAAGATTAGCATTTGTACTTACTTATAAAGTGATTCGTACTCTTAAGAATTGCTATAATCTGACAATGCTAGTTGTGTCAGTAGCGAAACATAAAGCTATGTTATAAAGATTTGCATTGATTAATGTGGGAATTCACTACTCCTCTATTTCTGAATTGATCTCAACAATGATCAGCATATATATTTTCTAAATATATTACATTTTAATTCCTGTGGAACTTTATTATTTTTAGATTTTCCAATTATCCTTTTTTCTACTTTTTTAATAAATACCTCTCCTAAATGTAACAACTTGAACTGATGACATTTTTGACTACTGTTTCAAGTTAGTAAGTAAGCCACTTCTTCTATTTTGTGACGTAACCAAGGGCACCCCCAACTACTATAAGAGCCCTTGCATTTCCCAATACATGAAAAACAAAACGACATTGTAGGATCTTGCCCATACAATGAAGCAGTGGCACCTGCTGACGGAGAAAGAGTTGAAAATGTTTAGCAGAAATCAAAAACCGTAATAAGGATTAGTTTAACTGTTAAATGTTTACGAAGGTCAAGTCAATTAAGTGGTAGTCTACGTGAAAGAGAACGTGAAATCCTTATAAAAGTTGATGCTATCACTAAAGAAGGTTGTAATCCTACTCTAGCTGATACTGACGCTAAGAGATATGGAGCAAAATGTTTAACGCTCACCTCATCTTGAAGTATCGGGTATAAATTGGTCTGATATATCAATCACATCAATGAAATCAAAGACCGATGTGTTAGGTTTCTGTTATCTTATTTATACTACTCAAATTGAAGTGTGTGCTGAAGATGTTGTCTAGGAGGACAATGAAAGCTTCGCAAACAAACCATCCAGCTGAGAAAACACAACTACATCAAAATCATCCACCTAATCTACAAATGTTCTCAACAATATCTTCATACTACTCAATAAATTTTGAGTAGTATGTTTATCAGCTAAATAAAATGAATCCCGCTTCTTCCTGAGGTGAAAATTTAAAATTATCATAAAGTTTAGGTTAACCACATATTTATTTCCAGTCTTTGTGTGTATGATTCAAATGACTGAATCATCCATCAGTCTAAGCAGTTGACTTTCAAACAGGCGATAGTGACTAGTTTGAACCTGTGACTTCTAGTCCCCCTTATTATTTAGTCAGAATTGTATTGTCCCCATATCTGCTATCACCTCTTGACGAATCCATGTATTACTGCCGCTTGTCGAGATAGTAATAAGTTATGTGATGAACTATTCTATATAAGCCTTATCACTATAAACTAGTATGAAAGGTTCTTAAACTTTCTTGTTATGGCCCTCTACGTGAATAGATAGGGCCAGTTGCCTAGTGAGCACCTCATTGATATTCAAGTGTTGGTTTCCAGGGGTTGGATTAGCTACAGGATTTCACCATCATGATTTACTTTCTGTAAGTTATTTTTTGGCTACTCAATTCGATTGAACTGAATCATCATTATGCTTCATCTTTTGTCTGTTTGACTTTTATTGTACATATTTCACTTAACGAATCAATAGTCGTTTAGGTGTAAACAATTTTTCATTCATTTATAATCTATCATTTATATATATAATGTGTTAACATGCTCTCCTCATTGTTCTAATGCTTATTTATCTTCTTCCTATATCAATATCACCTGTTTGTGTACAATAAAAACAACTTAGGTGCTTCGTAGTCAACTCATTCATCAATCGAGATCCTCCACTATGCATAAACAATCTTTGTGACCATCGACGTGTAAGGAATAATGAAGAAGCTCTAAAAAAAAGTTCCGCGTGTATAAATAATATGTTTTGTTTCTTTTGACCAAACATGGCTGTTTGTTGTTTGTTTGTGTGTCTGTGGGCGTGCTAACACACAAATTGGGTGCAATAACCTTCTGCTTCTGCTATTGCCGCTTCTTTTTTTTTTGCTGTTGACACTTTTTTCCCTTTATGAACTTCTGCTGACTTGTATGTATTCTGTATGCTTGTGAGCTTGTCTGTCTGAAAGTCACTTGTTACCTTGTTGTTTTATTAGGTAAATTAACTGTGTGTTTCAAGGCACAAAATACTCACTTGATACACCATTTTAACAGTGACAGCGTGTTTTTCTTGCGTGTTCGCCTTTTCATGAGCACATTTTTAAAGTCAAAGGGAACAATTGAAATTCATCAAGTCACATTGTTTGTTTAATCCCCTTCCTCCTCAAAACTAGTTAGTGCTCACAAACTAACTAACCATACAGTATGCCCACCTAACATTTCCAGTAGCTTATTAAATTCAGTTTTTAAGAGAAAGAGAGGAGGTATGTATAAATTACAAGACCTGTTATCTGTCATGAAGAAATTGGGTTCGATTATCCAACTCATAAGCATAATTTTATATACCGGAACATTGTATGCCGAATAGGATAAATCTTTCATGTATGAACTATGGAACTTTAGCCTTTCTCTGTATGTGTGTGTGTGTCTCTTTGCGAACTTATTTAAATCCATGCAATAGTTTCAGTAGTCGGCGGAGTGGCTGAACGGTTTAAGGCGCTGTTTTTAGGCACCATTCTAAAAGGGCGTGGGTTCGAACCCCACCTCCACCAAGGGCTTTTATGCGTTGGTGGCGTAGTGGTTAGGGCGCTCGCCGACCATGAACGCGGTTCGGGGTTCGATCCCCAGCCGACTCACTCCTTTACCTCGCTAAGCGAGAAATAATGCTTGCTGGTAAAGAGGAAAGGTTGGACATGAGGCTAGCGATCCCATCCTATAAAATAAACACTGCTACAGAAACTTCAAGCCACTAGCTTGAAGCCCTATGTTCCACTGGGGAACGTGAAGGAAAAAAAGTGGGTAGATTTGTTCCCATGTATTCTAGAAGACATTGAATATTGAATCATGAAGTTCCCCTTACAATTTTTGTTATTCAGTTTCTTTTTCTTTAAAGAGTCGTGAGTTGCAAGAAAAACCCCATTGTTGAGATTAAATGTGGTATTTATGCAGTGGTCATAAGTGCACCAACTATTGAATCTGATCCTACTTTTTTCTAATTAACACTAATATTCGTTGGGAGGAATGCTCTATCAATCTCTGTGTGCTAAGTAACTATATATATAGTTTGCTTCTGTCGAGCCTTTCTACGAGTGGAGAAATAGGAGAAACCTTCTAAGTGTCGGTTTGTAGGAAGCTGATTAGCTATAGGTTTCATCACAAGCTGGCGTCAGTTAGAGAACCATTGAAAAACCTTCAGGGAGTACTGGACAGTTGTTTCATCTTAGTTTAAGATTCTTCTTTATCAGTATACATTCACCTAAGTTCCCATCCGGACTGTCGGAAGGTGGAATTCATGAACGACTGTATCAGGTCTCAGTAGCTTAAAAGATCTACGAGCTCGCCTGGTAACCGGAAGGTCCTCGGCCTGAAACTTGGGATTGAGTACTCCTGAAGAGTTCCAAACAAGGGTTGAACAATTATCCAGTACTTCCTGGTTTTCCGCAGGCTCTCCAACTGATGTCAGCTCCTGATCAAACCTGTAAATGGGAAACATTGTCAGTAATAAAAGCGAATTGAAACTTCTCAAGATAGTAATGCAGAAATTTAACTTTTTCTTAAAGGATATATGATATAAAGGAAAACAACTATCTGTTCCCACTTGCTTTTCTACATTTTAATACACACATATACACACACTTTGAAGATATTGCTTGTCACACTAAACAATGCTCCTGTTGTTGTTGTTCATCAGTGTTATTGTCCGCCGCTATGCATTCCGCTAGTCAATTTTGGTGTGTTAACACATACCAGCGTATATTCCGTTTCTTGTATACATTTATTTTGAACTATATTCTGTAGAACAAACCACGGTAAATACTGTTTCTACAATAAACCACACCTTTTGTAGAAGATACACTTAGCATCACACTTGAGAATGATTTTGTCGTTGTGTATTTACATACTATCAGACTGAAAACTATTAGACCCTTTATAACTTATCAAGTTTTAACCATGCTATTCGTCATTTCACCTTTCACTACTGATAATGCAGGTCTTCATTATGCCAGGTATAGCGGAGAAGAAACGTATTACTGCTTAATCATAAGTATTGAAAACGCCTCCTTTTATGGTCGTGTTTGCTTTAAATACGATGATCGTCTTTTCTATATGTAGTTTTGTTTCAGAAGGTACTACACGCTAAAGATCAGTCAGCTGTCAGAATTAACTTGTTTGATTATCTCAACCACCGGTGATATTTCATTTTCTAATTTGCTGATCAAATCGATCATCGTGTAATTTGTTGGTGATTTAGACATTTTGATGTAAGACACTTTCAGCTCTGATAAATAAGCAATTCATTCCAATTACATCAGTGCTTCAGCATGTAGGACTGATTGTAGTCAGAATAAAAATAGTGCAAAAATATATGCACGTCATTCACCTGACATTATCCTATGTGTTTAACCCAATTCTCTTTTCCTCAGTTGATCGATTGTACTAAACCTTTGGGCCTCTGTAGATATATCGACTACTAGTATGGACGCTTCGACGATTTCGGACGATTAACGTGATGTTATTCAGTAGATGGTGACTAGCAGTGTAATCTAGAATGCGTATTTTTGACCTATTTGGGACTCATCGATTGGGCGAACCTGCAATCCCCAGTGAGTGATGGTGTTACCACTGAAATGTGAACCCTATTACCCATCGTTTCAAACTGCAAGGCGTAATTCACTAGGCCATTTAGATCACGAGAGCTACCTCTCGTCCGATGGGTATCAGGTATTAATTGTCGAAGTCAAGTGGTTTAGTGGATAACGCTTTGGAGTTTGAAACGATGCTTGTTGGGTTCAAGTTTTAATGGAAACACTATCAATCACAAACTAGATGAAGAGTCCAAGACAGGACGAGTTCAGCGTCTCAGATTCTATACTACAATTCACCACCCATTACAAAACATTATTCCATAAGGTTAAATATTTGTTCTGTTTTTGTTTTGTTTTTTACTTCCTGTACACACATTTGAAACACTGTTTTTCATTTCACTGAGTGGTACTGTACTTTTCTTTCCTGTTAGCATAGAATCATTTTTTGAATGTATTTCATTGGAGCAGTTATCAGAGAGAATAAAACACCATTGTCTGCTGACTGAATAAACAGTCACTGTTTTGATTCTTGCCTAGAAGGGACTATCACTGTTTTCCAAAGATATTTGTGTCATACTGTAACAGCAGAAGACAAGGACCAGCAACAGATCGTTGTATTACGGAAATCAACACGTATTTATATACATTTCACATACATTATTGTAGCTTATTCAAGTAGACAAACACAGTCTTCTGATTGGTTGTTTCTGGTTTCTCAGAAAGTTAAGCCGTATGTCTGCGAATCTTATTTGCCCACGTTAAGTCTGCTGTGATTGGTTGTTGAGTCAACCTTGTTCATATTTTCTCACGGCCAATATTAGTGACCTAGACATTGACGCAAATTGATGTCTACAAATTGGCTAGCAGCCTGCTCTCACCACAATACGATAACGGGAGAAGATAGGAAACTCGATAAAGGAATGTTTATTGGCAATTTGACCTACATATATAGGAAAATTATGTATACCTTATATTAGAATCGTCATTTGCACAAATCTTCCGTGTTGTGCCGATTTTGTCTTTCGTATTGTGTTTCCTTTTCTTCTTTTAGTGTCTGAGATGTTTTCGCGCAGCCCTGGTCCATTTGCTCTCTTTGAGGTGGAGTCTGTTTCTCCGCTATTTGATATCCTTGCGACAATGAAAGTCTCTTTAGCAAAAGCACACGTACACCCGTACCCCCGTCAAATAGTTTCGAGCTAAGCCACTCCAACCTTCTTGGTTCTATCTGTTCTTGTTGTGCCTTGGTCCCGGCCTCCTTACGACGTTGTATCTATCTCTGAATCTGGCTGGCGTTAACGCGTTTATCTGTTTGTCTCCTCTTCTGATGGTATAAACGGGACATTGTATGGTCCTTCTCACTTTGGAAGGCGTTTTCGTTAACCTGAGCTGCATTTAACCGTGTATTTTCTTTCTCTACACTTTAAATGACCACCGACCTCAAGGGTTATGCATCCCATCTTTTCTCCCCGTTCAAATTTTGTGGCGTCCATCTTCTGTTTACGCTTTACATTCCTGATGACTTCTTTCCGTTCCTTTCTCAGCCTTGTCACACTCCTCTATAAGTGGAAGGGGTCAAGTCTTGTTGTGTATTGGTAGTCGTGGCTTCCTCTCATACATCAGCTGAAATGGTGACTTCTTTATCGCTTTGTGAGTGGAAGCGCGATAAGCTAGTAGAATCAATGGAAGCTCTGTCTCCTAGTTACCTCCCTTCGAGGTCAGCAACTCCTTCAGTGTGAACTGTTATTTCTGCCAGCCAAACCATTCGTTTCTGGATGATATTGTGCTTTTTTTCTGATTCTTCTTAATCCCCAAGCTGTTGCAAAACGGAAGTGAATTTTTCGCTTTGAAAACAAGGACCCTGATCTGTTGTTAGTAGCACATACCACAGTACATCTGTCATATTCATTTACCACACCATCTCATAGTTATTAAAGTGAAAGTTTGTTTATCCAACTCTTATTACTATTCACTGGCTGATTATTGAACATGAAACAGCTTAATCAATACCCTTTTTCAATTATCTTGTCACCGCCTAAAACTTAACAATCTATCTGCTTAAAGGGAAAAAGTTTCAAGTGTTTGTAGTCATCATGTTTTTCATCAATGGTGTATAAACTTGTCATTATCCCGCATAATAAGTGATGGTGCATTTATTGAGGAATGAATGTGATTCAAGATAAGATGTATATATATATATATATATATATATATATATATATATAAGAAGCCTCTTTTAAAATTATTCTCTTCCAAAGTATATTTTCCATATTTAGACATCATTCTAAGTGAATAGTATTCATTATATATGTCCACACCAAGTTCACTTTTAATGGTTTGAAAATATTTTGGCATTGGGTATATGATATTCATTATAATAAAGGTTTCTTTGTATTCCCCAATGAATGAATGAAAAACAAAACGATATTGCTACTTTTACTGACGTTTCGCTATTTAATGCTGCTGCTAATAGCTTTATCAAAGTATTATTAAACCGGAATTTACAAAATCTCAGCATACCTATATATAACAAAGAGTTGAGAAAGGGGTGAGAAAATTGACTATTTAGGTCAAGTTAACGGGACGTATAGAAAGTCAGAATAGTAATGAATATCACTAAAACAAATATCAAAGGTAATAATACGTCTGTTATGATATCAAAACAAAGTTTACTAACTTGATCATCGTTCGTTAGTCTGTCTGGGGTCATCTCTTGACAACAACAAAAAAGAAATAACCCTAGACTGACGAACGATGATCAAGTATTCCACAATCTACACTTAATTTTGATATCTTTACCAATTCACCAACTTGACAACCAAAGAATGACCCCAGATTAACAAACGATGATCAAGTTAGTAAACTTTGTTTGAGATTTCTGAAGTTTTTCTGGATTATTTCATTGTTATTTTGACTTTCAATATGTTGTTATAACTTGACCTAAGTAGTCTATTTTCTCACTCCTTAATTCTTTGTTGTATATAGGTATGCTGAGATTTTGTAAATTCCGGTTTGTATAATACTTTGATAAAGCTATTAGCAGCAGCATTAAATAGCGAAACGTCAGTAGAAACAACAATATCGTTTTGTTTTTCATTCATTCATTGGGGAATACAAAGAAACCTTTATTATAATGAATAGTATTCATTCATCATATAATTAAATAAAGTAATTACTCAATGTATATGTATATATATGTGTGTGAATGTATACTTTCTACAATTCTTTTTTGTTTGCTTTTTCTTTCTAGTTTATGAGTGCAGTAAAATCTGGTGTTGTTGTGAATTCACCATTCAAGAAAGTACTCAATCGTACACGAATTCCTGTTTACAGAAGTGGTGGTGGCGTGTAGAAAACAACAAACAGACGGGAAAACATACAAACAAACAAGCCCACAAAAAACGAACTATCCCCTCTTCTATACTCTTGTTTTGTTGTTGTTTTTTTGGTTTCCTTTGAAGAAGATAAATCCCCTCTTCCACCCTCTCTTATTGATGTCTTTTCATTTATTTTGTTTTCTTCTTCTTTATTGACCAACCTTCATATAGTATATTTCAGTATGTACGTGTGTGTGTGTGTGCGTGCGCTCGCGCGACTGTGCTATCTTCATTCATATTGACGAAGATGACGTAAGAAAGTACTTTTGTTCTTTAACTAATGATTATTATTATTATTATTTGCATGTGTTACCAGGTAGATTATTAGACAGATGGATTATTCTTATTCTTCTTATTATTATTAATGTTGAACACTTTGTTTGCATGGTTTCTGTGTTCATTTCAACGGATTTATTATACTTAGTTGTTGTCTACAAATGATAGCGAACAGTGTAGGTGTTCATGCCTGACTTTTGTATTGAAGGATGAAATCAACACCCACAGGCCTAAACACCATCATACTCCCTTCACATACTTATTTTACTTCTACCGACTAGTTATATTCTCATTGGCTAATGGAATTGTAATTTCCCTTTCCTATGCCTTTTATACCAATATGGACTTGCTTTTCCTTTTCTTTACTTCATTTGATAGTAGCGGTAATACTGGTAATATTAGTCGTCACTTTCATCATTTCAGCTGCTTGTCGTTGTTCTTGCTGTTGCTGTTGAAGTGTATTACTCACTGCTTCTTTTGCGTACCTACGTCACCAGGTCAATAGTACTTACTTCTACGACAAACATACAACTGTTTTATGTTGATTAAAGAAAAAATCTTTTTTTTGTAGAATTTTGTTTTACTCCTTTTATGAAATATTATTACTATTATTATTATTACTTTATTCGATTTAAGTACTATTTTGTTTTTGAAGAAAAGATACCGTTGGTAACTTTCTTCTAGCTGTGTATATATGATATATACATGTGAGTCTATATATATATATATATATATATATATATATATATATATATATATATATGCACTCATTGTAGAATTAATAAATTTCGATCACTTTCCCGCATATTCATTGAAAGCTTGTCTTGTCACATGTCGTGCCAAGTGCAGGGTTATTCATAGAAAGCGTGTAGAACTATATAATACTATACTGATTGATTGAGATGCGGAGTAGTTGTATACATTTGAAAGATCCGTCGCCGACACAAGGCCAACCGCGATCATTAAAGTTATCCAGAGTCATTACAGAATTCAACAGAGACAGCCGAAACTGCTCCCGGTTGGTTCTGTTCTAATAAATGCACCCATTCCCTTGGGGTCATGGCATAATTGCATGTATTTGCTCTAGAATTACTACAGTTATCCATGTACTATATATATATGATCTAAGCAACCATAGCTGATTTAATGAGCCATTCTCGGTTTCATCGTTGTAAGGTATGTACTTAGACATGCATGGCTTAATCTTTGAGACAAGCATATGACTACTGGCAGGATCAGTCAGTTTATTCACACAGTGATACACCCATTGACTGGGTACTGGTTTTTCAGGAGAACCAAATCCACCCATCCCTGACTTTTGCGAGACGAGACCGGCATGCAGGAACATCCTGTGGCGCAACCACTCGAGAGCCCTCTCCCTCGGTGGACCATTTGCACCATTTTTATACATAGTAATGCATAGGTAAGCACTGTTACGCCGATCACTGATTGCGTCAATCAATTATGCACTGCATAGACAAGCTCAATAGAACTCATCTTGCATACAAGACTAGTCAAACGTATTATTATACGCAAAAGTAGCACGCATATCAACGCTATAGTGACAATAAGCCCCTATAAACGAAGCCAGCAGCCACCAAATTCAATGAAATCGTTATCCCTGCCAACCGATTTAGCATGCGAACAGCTACTATACGTCTACCAAGACTATAGAAAACCATACACAGTCACATAAGTGAGCCATATTGTCTATAAAGCTTATGCAGTGTTTACTATGGGATTTTAGGGTTATAAGCAAGCAGCCTAGCATGGCACTTTTGAGGCCTTCGACAAGCTCAAAATCCCTTGATGACAGGTACCAAAACTCGTTTCACGCCTTCCTCCATCGTTTGGAAGCGTTTTTCAAAATTTCAATTTTTTCACGTTTTGGACCTGAGTTAGGGGTAGTATCGTTTCACTCGTTTACAGGCGAGCTCATCATATGTGTATCAGGTTCGACTCGGCTGTTTGAGCCGAGTCAGTTCAAACCATCTTATTTATAGCTTGCTACTTGGAGGAACTGGTAAATAGCGAATCATATTTGAAATTCGCAAAATTGAAAGGCATTTGAGAAGGTGAAATTTCACCACAGCTTCCTGTGGAAACCAAAACTATTCAGATCGCTATGTGTGATCTGCTTGATACCGTAAAGTGATAATCAGGAAAGCAAGCAAACGTGCGTAGAACTATGTACTACTGATTGAATTTGATGAGTAGTTGCATATCACTCACTCACGGGTAAATCTCTGATGAGGTCGACTGCAAACCAGCAAAATTCTCGTTCGTTGTTTAGATCACCTCGATAACCTGGCTAGCAAGCACTACTGGTTGATATGAATAGTATACAACTACTCAACCCAGTCAATCAGTAGTATATCAATCTATGCAAATATTTTTGATTGCTTGATCACCATTTATATAGTATCAGGCGGATCGTATACTCTGATCTGAATAATTTTGTTTCCAAAGGAGACTACGGTGAAATTCTGCACTTCGGATTGTGTGCGTTGCATATTGTGAATTTGATTTATTCATAGAAGTCTTTCTTCGAGCTCCTCAGCTTGGTAGTTCGTCCCACAGAATTCTATCTGTTGATCCTCGTTGTTTGCAGAAGTATCTTATCCCAAGATATCATATTCCTCAATAACTTGGAATGAATAATCTACTTACATCGAAAATGAACAAAGATTAGGTCACCTCAAGACAATCAAACCTTGCAGAAAAAGATTATCCAGTGTTGGATGCTTAAATAATTCTAAGGAATTTAAAGAAAAAATTCAGGAATGAATTTATTTATGGTTCAGTTGTTTGTTAAAAGCTGTGAGACCCTGTGCAGAAAATATAACGAAAATATTAGCACGTTTTGCCATCCCTACGCTTTTAACTAAGTTATGATCAGAAGATCAATACAAAAGTGAACGCGATTTGAAATGTAATCTAGCTGGAGGATTTCATCATGAGCTGACATCGGTTAGAGAACAATTGGAAAACCTGGGAGTACTGTACAGCTGTTTCGTCCTAGTGTGGGACTCCTCACAGGACGTACCCACCTTCAGGGTTCTAAACCGGGCCCTTCTGGTTACAAGGCGAGCTTGTAAACCATTAGGCCACTGGGACCCGATCCAATGGCCAGTCCAAGAATTCCTACTTCTGCGAATTCACGACATAGCGTGACCGCTAGTCAATGTCTTTTGGTTTATAACCTTCGGATTATTTGAAATCTTCATTTAAGGAATCAAACACTTTGGCAGAAATTGCGGAATATATTTTAAATGACATGTCCGCTAAGTTTCAAATTGCTGTATCTGTATGAATGACGTCTACGGCAAACTGTGCTACTTGGTCTGGTTTAGTAAACTGACCAAACGTGTAATACTAGCCTACTAGTGAATAATCTAGCAGTGTATGGTCTCTAAATGAATTAAATTCATGAGATGCACTGAAAGTGACACGGATAGGATTCCTGTATGCTTATTTTGGCCGTCTTTAGCGAGGAAAATCGCAGGTATTTTCTCCAGATGTCGTCTTGTTATCAAACAGCCTTTTTAGCCTAGAATGAATACCTAACCGAAATATTTTAGGTTACTTCAGATCGGTAATTTCAGGTTAAGTTAGACATTGACTGCGTCTTACTACGACGGTACTGGTCTTTTGGACAGATGTGTTTGATTCTCTGCAGTTCACCTTCCACGGCAGCAAAATAACCTCAAGGTTAAAATTAGTACATCGAACAGAATTAACTTAACATTAACTTCTTCACTGATTGGACTGCCTTCAGTTTTGCATATCAAGTTCCACTATATGTGCATTTCTATCATTTCATAATCGTGGTATGTTATTGTTTTTAGACAGAGAACTTGTCCTACAAAAGCTGATACTTTCTCACCTACGGAAACGGCAGTTACACTGCTGCTACGCGCTTTCTAAGCACATCGACCGTCTTCATGGTTCTGGCGCGTTGAAGCCCTCTTCGTTCTGTACCGTGTTCGCTCAAAAGAAACTAAGGTTAACTTAGTCGCTGCGAGTCTTTTATAAAACATGATGGAAGATGTTCTAGGTATTTCTGACGAACCCTCCTCTAACCTATACGATGGTTATACGAAGGCGGCTCTTATTAAGAGAGTGGTACTTGCTGACCAGCAAGAGTTTCGAGAACTTTTGAGAGACATGTCAATTGGAATCCGTAAGCCCACCCAAATGCTTTGTTAGACTTCAAAACAAACGAAACCCTCCTGAAACAACCGTGGTTGCCGCAGACGGTACAAAATGTTTTTGCACCCCTTTACAATTCCCTCTTCATGAAGTTGTCGGAGCAGCTGACAGAGTTGTCGATGCTACCAGACAATTCACGGGTGTTTCCACCGAACTGTCTACTACCACTCAGTTTCAGGAATACCACCTTTCACCAGTGAGTAGTCGAGATTCGATGGCTCATGGACTTACAAAGAATTCTGTGGTCTTAGAAAAGAGTATAGAACCACGAGTCCTATCCGAAATCATGTGACTTGTTCTTGCAACAAGTCGTCTTCAAGTTTCAGAAAAATGCGATAGAAGTTGAGGAACTCTCATCCTAGAATTTGCTGGTGTCAAAGAAGTTGTGCTGGCAGTGAACCTTTGAGAATAGCCAGAGGGCAAACCTATTGGCCAGAACGTAATGGTGACTAATGTTTCTGGCGAGCGACTCCCTTGTCACCGCCTATATGTCATATAGCATAACTCCGGGACACGCTTCCTGGTTGATAATGGGACAAAAGCCGGCGTCACTGCACCTACAACAGAAAATCTTCGGCCAACGTCTTGCGAATTAAGTGACGCCAATGACTAACATATGGCAACTTATGGCAGAAGCTCCTTAGAACTTAGTATCGGACCTTAACCTTTTTTATCTGGGTTTTCATTTCTGGCTGATGCGGGCACCGTCGTAATTGGTGTGGATCTCTTGCTGCACTACCAGTTGCTGCGAAATGTTGGTGAGCATAAGCTAATAAATCCTGCCATGCAGCACTCCATTTCCCGTGAAACAATCAGCAGTCTTCACTTTGTATACACGTACCTGGACGACGACCTCACCATAAGGCCAAATAGGGGAACCCACTTCCAACACCTTGACTTGACCTTCGGCACAGTGCGTCGGAAAGAGTTATAATTAATATTCAAAAGTGCCTAATAGAAGTGGAATCCCTTGAATTTCTCACATATACCATTGTCAGTGTAGTTGAAGATTGAACGATCAATTCATGGTTGTTTGCTCAAACCCAACTCTATATTTTGGCGGGAGTCATCGATAGTGCAGTCATCGTTTCATGGCAATGGATAAAGGCACACACGGGGTGTCGTTATGTGTTATCGCGATGTTGTGTTCGGGTTGTTCTACGTTGTTTTCCGGTGCTTTTTCAACTGAAATACATTATAAATACCATATTTTAACGAAAAAATTTAGAAAAATGGTGGAAAGTAGACACTTTCAGCAGTTTGAGTGAACATGGATCTGTCATTGAATTTCGTTATTTCTTTCCATGTGGAATGTTAAAACTCTGTGTAAATTGTTGATTACGTTAAGGAAAACGAAATCAATTAGGAAATTGATGCATATTTTGCGAAATTCTGAAAGGGTGTTTTGAATCTCTGAGATATGAAAACTTGGTAACACTCAGAAGAGTCTACAGCTATAAAGGAGTGTTAGTTGATTTATTCGCATGATAACAGTTAATAAACAAATTTTTTTTAATAGTTACTTTGGTTTGGAGTATTTTCGTGTTGCTAATTATTTGTTAAAGGATGTCATACTATTGTTGATTTGCAGGTTACAATTGTAATTTACGGAGCGATTCACTTTATTTGGAGGCTTTAATGAAGTGCAATTGAAGAATTTGCGCGTTATCGTTGGAATCTTTGTGATATGATAAAATTATTTATCAAAATAAATATCTTTTTAATGTTTTAACGGTGTTCTTTAAAGAATTCACTACTACTTCCCTTTTGCTTGTCGAAGGAATAGTGATGTAGCCGGTTTTGGAATGCGTAGTGATTTAATCTGAAAGAGTGATAATTTACGCAACATAAGAATACTAGGATTTTCTTCAATAGGATATACCTATAACGCGTTATTTTCGATGTACGTAGCTGCCCTACATTTGTTATTATGTATACGTAGTAATCGCAAAACAAACCTAAGCTCAACGTACATTTTTTCGCAAGCCCTGATGAAAGATAATCTTTTACGCAGCCGTATTGAGTGTAACTGAAACATTTCATGGGAGGCTTGATGACGCACTGAGGAAATAATAACGGTTTACGATTATCACGCATTTCACACAAGTATTACTACGTTGCCTATCAACTTCGTTAACTATGCAATGTCCTCGGAATGATAATTAAGAGAGATACATGTAGTCAACATAAATGCATATATTTACAAAATAAAAACAGTTAAACAGTACATATTCATATTAAAAAGGGTGGAAAAAAATCACAGTTGTAGATTCTTTATGGGTACATGATTGTCAAATTAAAGTCCACTAATCGTCTTATCCACAATATGTGGATCAGTTTCCCTTTAGATGATTGTGACACTGGACCAGTCTTTACAGCTTTCAGCACCACCTGATCCTTCAGAAGAAACTGGTTATGACCTTTCCATGCAAAGATTGAGATTGTATTCCTTTGACCACCTCCGGCCACACTGAGAAATATCTAAGGATATATACATATCAGATGAATTAATCTTACCTCAGGTGAACGATTCCTAATCTTAGCAACAATGAATATGTGAACAATTGTTCACATATTCATTGCAGTTGACTATTGTCAATGGTTGATTTTCCACTTCCAACGGCGGCCACACACGCTGACTTATTCACTGACAACAATTGCGCCATCATTGTTTTCAGCGACTGAAATTCTGCTTTCATTTCTCCTTTAAGGGACTGCATATCCGCTCTAATTGACTGCAACTCATTGGCTACTTTATTAGCTGATTCACAGTTTTCCTTACTGCAAAGTAAATACTAATGAAAAGTGACATACGTAGTCTGCTGAACTAGTTGCGCTATAGGTGAAGTTGCCACTGGCATTTGTTGAGTGGAAGTGCTGGAGGAGTAATGATATTAAAGGAATGCGTTACCTGGCTATCGGTGACATAACAGTTGCCATGAAATTTGTTGTCGGGTATTTTGAAGGCAAACAAACTTTCTGTGCCTCCACTGCTTCAAGTTCCATTGAGTCGTAAGCGTAAGACGAGTTCTTCGTCTCAACTCTGCATTCTGTGATTAAGCAATAAGAAGAATCTACCTTGGACGTTTGGAATTGGTAAGAGGTAATGTTTCCTCCATATTATCTGAATTTGAGAGTACACTGTATATTCGTTTAGTAGCCTGCAATGTATTCTTGGCTTCTACGAAAGAGTCTAATTACAGTAATGTAAGTAACACGTAAATAGTTACCTAGTTCAGCTAACATTTCACAATCCGTTAGCACCCAGTCCGGTCGAGGTCTAACGCAAGCCTCAACTTCATTATCTGTTATACTGCTGTGATACAAGCACAGGTCTTCGGATAGCATCCAACTGCTGGCAGCTATGAATAATTCTTTGGACCCAGCTTTCCGTAAAACAGCATAATTCTTCTTTTCTTTCTGTAAGATATGATATGATATAAACAAAATTTACTGTCTTATTAGTCCGCTTGGCAATTGAATGCAGGAATGCCGACGATTGACACAACTGTCTAAGCAGGTTATGGAAAAGTATGAGGCAAAGGCACCGCAACTACATACCTATCTGTACGCATTCCAAAACACTTACAAGTAATGTCTGACGGACTAATCTCTACCTTGTATGGGCTAACTTTAGAGCACTTCCATATCCCAATGTGGGATGACTTAAATGGTTGCTCGAAGAAATCACCACAATCTGCATAAGGTCTGAATATTAGTCCATCCCTATTTATCTCAGTTATCAGACCCGGTCTACCGTAAGCTATAACTAAGTTATCTGGTGAAGAGGAAGTAATGAGTGTATTCCTAGTATTAACTGTTTGCCTACGTGTATCCACCTCACACTCATTTAAAACTTCATTGCGTACTCCTCCTGATTTGCAGTCGTGGAGCACCTTTTCAGCAAAACGGTTTGCCGCTTGCTTAGCGATTGCATTGTAGGAATGTATTGATCGCCTTATTGTCTGCATATAAGATTCAAATGGGAAGGCCGAAAAAGATTCCAACGGTCCCATTTGATTGACATCTTCGGTCAAGTGTTGCAGACAATGGATGTTATAAACTAGGTGCTTTCTACCGTATATAACCTCAAACTCGTTTAGAAAGTTGATTAACTCAACTCTGCAACCTTCCAAGTAATTTCTATGAAATCTAGGGTGAGACAAAAGGTACACTGCTAGACTTAATCTTTGGAAGTTTCGATAAATAGCCGGTGGCATTATGTCCTTAAGTACAACTGGTCCTATGTACAGGAGGAACAGGCGACATTCTGTGGCTTTCCACCGACTGACTTCGGTTAGCCCCCTACATTTCCTCGGGAAGTCTTTGGGTGTCATTCCGGAACAGTCTAATATCTTTCCGTCAATATTTCCTAGCATAATACGGTCCACGTGCATCTCATTCTTTTTAGCTAAGTCTTGCCAGAGACTTACAAGCTTCCTTACTACCCCTAAATACACTAGGTGCATTGGATCACGGGGGAAACACTTAACCATATCAATGTTTAACTCCTCAAAAATGCAGTCTCCACGGTGGTGACTTGACTGCATCCTTTGACGGAAGCTTTCGTCAGTTCTTATTGGGAAGAAGCCATTTCCAAATATCATTCTTCCATCAACTTTAACTCCAGTGACTGTGCATTTGTCGCAACCTGAACTAGCATTATGACCTACTATATACTTCAAGTCCGCTCTAGCCGGTGCATCACAGATGACGGCTGTTAAACGAACGTTGAAATGCCTATGAAGTCTGGTAATGTGTATGCCTTGACTTAATATCTCCTTCAGTTCAGATACCAAGTCAATGCATAACTCTTTGTAACTGCTGGGCTTGCTAGGACCACCATATATACCTATCAAGAAAACACTGCTTAAAAACGGTGCCGTAATCCTACCTAACAGGGGCCATAACTGCTGGTTAGTAGACTTCGAGATGGACAAACCGTCGACATTCAACTGCAGGTCAATTATGTTGCTGGGAGTTTCAATCACAGACGACATCTCCATGTAGTGCTGCAAACATTTTTTGAGACCGATGTGGCAATACATTCCTTCTCCCAGTAGTCTAGAATCGCATGACCCACACATTCTCAGTACACTTCTAACGGTTTTTGGTAGCTGAGGCAATTTTGCACGGAATATCTCCAAGATTCTGTTAGCGTCTGCTTGTGATATGTTCGTGGTGACTAGGATATTCAGAAGCATATTTGTCAATTCATCACGTTCAGAAGAGACTTGTGTGCACATTTCCGCAGTACTGGCACATGGTGTTACGCTGGTGCACGGTGTCGATGGCACCACCTCGATTTCATTATTCATACTATCAGTGTTCACTGAAGAGGGCTCGACCTCAACAGGAAGGACAGTTTGTGAAACAGCCTCCGTTGATGCCGACGCTGCATTTATCTCGGCCATTATCTGCGCATAATTACGTTTATACCTTCTGTAAAACGTAGTGTAATGGCAATTCAATTGTAGATTACGCTCACGTAATCTCTTCAGGCTTAGTATAGGGTATTTAGTGTTAGACTAGGAGGAAAATAGAAAAGGGAGCACAACGACCACCTACCTGCATGGTGTGTAATCCCACTCGTCAAGCAATGATCTGAAACAGAGAGCAAAGCGCACGTTAGCAGTGTGATCACACAAGTGTTGCGTGCTAGTAAGAACGAGGACTCAAGGTCAAGTATTATATTTACAACCAATCGCAATACAAGTAGATAAGAGGGAAGGGCACTCCTATTGGTCATCCGTTGCCTCGTCTTGGGTAACCAATCCCTGCATACTTCGCAGCCAACCTGAAAGTAGACAAGCATGGTTTGAACATTAGAAAACCGCCAAACTTACCATGCCTTACACTACCCCCTCTCCCATAGGAGCACTGTCCGCAGTGCTAGGTGACTGTTCCTGCGGGACTTGTCTGCTCTAAGGCCTGTTGTCGAAAAGGTTTTAGTCTATTGAAGTGTGTGACTAGACTATGAGAGGAATTCGGTTCCTGAATCCTACAGGTGCAGTCACTTAGTACCTCTACTACAGTGAATGGTCCTTCCCAGCGTTTATGGAATTTAAGAGCTTTCCCTTTAGGTGGTGCCTCCTTAAGTAGCATCACCTTGTCTCCTGGCTCGACTGGTGATCCATGTGCTTTCCTATCATAGTATTCTTTCTGGTACCTCTGGTTTGTTTGGAGTATATCCCTAGTCATCTGATGTACCTTGTTCAGGTTTCGTCGAAGTCTGATTACGTGTTCGGATGCAATCAGTGTATCCTCTCCTAGTGTGTTTGAAGTCAGATCGATTGGCAACCGGAGTTCTCTTCCAGTGACCATATAATGAGGCGTTTGACGCGTAGCTTTGTGAATGCTTGCTCTGTATGCCATTAAGCACTGTGAGAGTGATCGGTCCCATTCCCTGGGGTTGTTTTGATCTACAAATGCCTGCAAGAGGGCTTTAAGTGTCCGATTGGTGCGTTCAACCAAGCCATTTCCCTGTGGGTGGTACGCGGTAGTGCGTGTCTTCCGGATACCCATTATACGACAGAGTTCGCTGACAACGATACTTTCAAAGTTGGATCCTCGATCTGAATGCAGTTGAAGTGGTGCCCCCCAACGGCTGACCCAGTGGTCAAAAATTGACTCTGCGATGGTTACAGCATCAATCTGTGGGATCGCAATAGCCTCGCACCATTTGGTAAAATGGTCTACCATGACTAAAATATAGTTATTATTTCTGGAAGTTACTGGGAGAGGTCCAACCAAGTCTATTTGTACTAAGTCCTTCGGATGGCCAGCTATAATGGGTTCTAAGGGTGCCTTATTATATTTGTGCGGAGCCTTAATAGTTTGGCATACCTCGCAGGAGTCACAGAAATCTATGATGTCTTTCCTCTGGTGAGGCCACCAATAACGTCTTTTAGCCGCTTCAATCATTTTCCCTGAGCCCGCGTGGCCTAACTGCTGGTGTAATGACAATAGTACTGTGGGTAGTGCCGACTGTGGAGCCACAACGCGACGAGTATAAGTGGGTCCATGTTGGTAGTAGAGGATGTCATCGACAATTTTCAGATTATCCCACAGAGACCATAAACACCGGGTTTCCCATCCAAGCTTACTTATTTCCTGGGTTGTCGGTCGTTCGCCTCCATTTCGAACACGTTCGTAAATCAAGGCCAGTTCAGGGTCTGAAGACTGAAGTTCAGGCCAACTATATGAAGTATGAGCCTCTAGTTGGAGCAGCGAAACTTGTGCTTCGGTGCATGATGGGCAGTCACCGTGATACCTAAGAGGTTTTCTTGACAACGCATCTGCATTTCCATGATTCTTACCCGGTCTATGCATGCATTCGAAGTCATACTCTTGTAGGTGTTCTTGCCATCTGGCAATCTGACCCTCAGCTTCTTTGAAGTTATGTAGCCAGCTAAGGGCTTTGTGATCAGTGCGTACAATGAAATGTCTACCGAGGAGATATGCCCTAAAGTGTTTAACAAAATTGACCAGTGCCAGCATTTCTTTCCGCGTGGTGCAGTAATTCTTCTCACTCTTGTTGAGTGCTCGACTTGCATAGGCTATCACCTTTTCTACTCCATCTGCGTCTTTTTGAGACAAAACTGCCCCGATACCAGAGTCGCTAGCATCTGTATCTAGGATGAATGGACCTGCCTGGTCAGAAACATTGGGATACGCTAGGATAGGGGGGCTACATAAACAGTTTTTTAGTCTTTCGAAGGCTTCCGTCGCTGATGCTGTCCAATTGTAGTCTTTCTTCTTAAGAATGTCGAATAGAGGAGCTGCAAGGAAAGAGAAGTTAAGTACAAAACGTCGATAATACGAGGCTAACCCTAAAAAACTATGTAACTCGGGGGCTGAGTTTGGGAGCGGCCAGTCTTTAACTTCCTGAACTTTTGCTGGATCACATTTAATGCCTTCGGCTGAAACAATGTGACCTAAGAAACACACTTCTTTCCTGAAGAATTGACATTTCGATGGGTTCAGTTTTAACCCAACGGTCTGCATCCGTTCTAATACTTCGGAAATATCACTTAAATGTTCGGTCAACGTCTTACTATGTATGATAACATCATCTAAATATACCAAACACTTACCTGGTATGCAATCACTCAAGACCGTTTGCATGAGGCGTTGGAATGTTGCTGGGGCATTGACTAACCCAAACGGCATTGTTTCAAACTCATACAGGCCTGCTTGTACAATGAATGCTGTCTTTTGCCTGTCATCTGGGTGTACTTCAACCTGCCAATATCCCGATGCCAGATCTAGAGTGGTAAACCAATTCGACCCCTCTAAGGCATCAAAAGTGTCGTCTATGCGTGGAAGGGGAAAGCAGTCTCGTCTAGTTAACAGGTTTAACTTACGATAATCTACACACAACCGGAGTGTCCCATTCGATTTCTTAACTAAAACTACCGGTGAAGCCCATGGAGATACGGATGGTTTGATGACATTTTTCTCTAACAGTTCATCAACTAACCTGTTAAGCTCCTTCTGGTAATGTGCAGGTACTCGCCGTGCAGGTTGTCTACAAGGTGGGGCGTTACCCGTTTCTATGTGATGTTGGACCAGTTTTGTTCTTCCCGGGCTTTTTCCATCCCAGTCAAAACAGTCCTCATATTTGTCTAACATTTTATTAAAGTTGGCAGCCGTTTCCGATGGTAGGGGTTCTATAGTCGTCAGCATTCGCTGTTTCTCATTCTTAGCATCTCCCTGCACGCCAAAAGTGCCGTGCTCTTTGTCGTTCCCTACAATAAATGGGATGGAACAGTCCTTCAGTATAAGAGTCCTATGACTACAATCTATTATTCCCGACAGCTTTTCCAGGAGGTCGACTCCCAAGATTACCTGCCACGGCACCCGGGTAGAAATGATGAAATTGTGTTGAAGTGACAGTGTTCCCAATTTAAGTGGCAGCAGGACCAGTCCCTGGGATTGCATGCAATCTCCATTGGCTGTCGTAAGCCGCAAATTGTGAGTCCCTATTGTTGGCCTAAACGTCTCTGGAACACATGAGGAATGTACGACAGAACAAGTTGCTCCTGAGTCAACTAACATAACACACTTTTTCCCACCTATATAACCTACAACTTTCGGGGAGGAGGTGACACCGATTAGGTTTACAGTAGGCACACAATTCATATCGACATGTGACTCACCTGCATTGTGACCACAACTCCTAGCAAGCTTACCAAACCGCCTGCAGTAGTAGCAATCGTTTCTTGAAGTGGATTGCGACTGTGGGCGTCCTTTCCACGGTGGTGTAGGATTCTGTGCATGCTTTGTTGTTGTGTGCTGATATCCCATTGCGTTTACTTGTGGGCATGTGGTTCCTGGCTCTTCCAGGCTTTCCACTAGGCGTGCCCTAGCTTCCGCTTCTGCCATGGATGCTGGAGTGTGCAAGTTGAAGTCCTTCCTGTAACGGACGTCGACGCCCTGCAAGAACTTGGAATATATAGCGTTTTCAACCTCTGAATGTGTCTTGTCCTGCATAGCTTGACGCGCAAGCTTGCGGAGACGTAAGGTGAACTGGTTGATAGATTCACCTTGTCTCTGGTTGCACTCGCTGAATCTTTTCAGCGCTTCAATGGGAGGTATTGGTGGCACTATACGTGCTCTTAGAGTACTCAACAGGGTGGTCAAGGGCATATGCACGTAATCCAAACCAATTGTGTACATTTCCAAGGACCGTCCAACAGAATCGATGACGAATGCGTTCGGGTGAGGCACGTTCATCAGATCAATGTATCGGCACACCTTGTCCGACCACAGCTCGAAATCATCACCCACCTCCAGTGTATGCGGCAAGGGATGGACATATCGCGAAGCAGGCTGATTTGACTGAAAAGCTGGAGCCCTCACTTCAGCCAATTGATCCACCTCGTGAGATGCTGTCTGTTTGACAGGAGAAGTGTTCTTGGAAGCCTCATTGGGTCGAGACTTAGAAGAAGAAAGTTTTTTCGTTGGCAGGCTCGCCATTTATGTAATCCCACTCGTCAAGCAATGATCTGAAACAGAGAGCAAAGCGCACGTTAGCAGTGTGATCACACAAGTGTTGCGTGCTAGTAAGAACGAGGACTCAAGGTCAAGTATTATATTTACAACCAATCGCAATACAAGTAGATAAGAGGGAAGGGCACTCCTATTGGTCATCCGTTGCCTCGTCTTGGGTAACCAATCCCTGCATACTTCGCAGCCAACCTGAAAGTAGACAAGCATGGTTTGAACATTAGAAAACCGCCAAACTTACCATGCCGGTGAACGGTTTAACAGTGCGCGCAAGATGTGTAAGTGTAATAAAACAAACCCTGACATATGTAGCGCTGTAATTTACGTTTACCAAAGAAATTTGGCACTAACTGAACTGATTGGTTACTGAGATTAAAAATTATTCAAGAAGAAGTTCAGATTT